AAGGACTAGCGCCGATGGGCGGCGCGCACGCATGAGGCGGTTGGCGTGAAGTCGGCCGACTTGGAGTGCAAGCAAAGGAAGAGATTTGAAGATCAAGTTAATTAGGACTCTAGTATATTTAGTTTCCATCTTGCACCATAATATCTAGATTGTTTAGGAATTTAATATTTTATTGCTTTAATAAGTTTCCTAGGTAGATTAGAATTAGTCATAGTTAGGATCTATAAATAGGGAGCATCTCTCATTGTTTTAAGAAGTCTTGGAATTGATGAAATAGAAAAGAACGTTTGTTCGAAACCGTGTGTTAGGATTCATGAGAATTCGATCATACAAATCGAATTGGTGAGGCTAAGACCCGAGCCAGTTCAAAATCGAGTGAGCAAGGCTAAGACCCGAGTGAACTAAAGTATCGTGAGAGAGTTAGGCTAATAACCGAGTCGATCACACCTATCGTCGAGACCAAGGCCGTGGCGAAGCTGTGTTCGAGACAAGACGAGTGGAACCAAACACACGATCCTTCATCACGCTGGGCTGCGTGCGGGCAGTAGTGCACAGGGCCCGGGCAGACAGGCAGGGTTTCAAATAGGACCGACCGATTTTAAAATGAACTCGACCGATCAACTTGAAATTTATACCCAATAATATGGAACCAGAAACACACGTTTTAACAAAGTCCTAACCTCAGGACATCAATTTAACCAACTGAACACATTTAGGCAAAACATCGACATAAAACTGAACTTACCAATTCTCTGGGCAATCCTTATAGTTTTTCAATGAATTTTGGACACAACATATATTATACCAGAATAATGACACTCACCAAAAATCACGTCAAAATACCAAGTACTCGATTTTTAATGATTTTTTTGAAGTTCCTGCCCAGAATAAAAAATTGGTATTTGACATAGCTTAGCAAATAATTTTGACCTGAAACTTTTACACCATAACATATACCAACAGAGGATCATACAGGTCAAATTTTGTGCCAATCGAACAAACACACGATTTATGATGATTTTAGTAAAATTCAGCAGCAAGACCCGATTAAAAATTGAATAAATGACACCCTAGTGAAAATTCAGAAGCAAGACCCGATTAAAAATTGAATAAATGACACCCTATCCATCAATTCCGTCCTAGGACTTCATCATAAGGCCAAGAACTCATAAATGTTCCGTAATCCACAGCCCTAACATGATTGTAACAAGGGTTCATCAATGACACACCAATATCCCATCAAACATGCATAATAATGTGGTTCGGAGGCTTATTTCCTCGAAAAAAATAGAGCTCTAGATGATCGAGCACCCTTACTTATTTTAAGAACCTGTTTTAACCCCATATTACTCATGATTTATAAGCATTTTTAAGCTCAAGAACTCGGCCTAAACATGCATACAATGAAAAATACGATTTTAAGGCTTTAAGCTTCAAAAATCTGAATCTCTCATTCTACCCGAGCAAAACTTGATTTATCTACATGATAAATCTTAAAATATCATGTTATAGCTAGGATAAAAAGATAGCATGAGCTAACCTTCACTGAAGTCGAAAATGAGAGTCAAGCCCTTAACTCAGGTCTCCTTGGGTAGCTATAGGCCGTGGATTGACTCGGTGGCCTTTGGTTGGGGATAATGGCTTCTCTAAACTCCTTATACTCCCATAGATTATATGAACTTAGCTTGGTGCCGCAAAACTTGGTTAGAACAAGAGATAGCTTGGTGCTTGCTTCTCTTTGCACTGGCAATGCTATACTCTTATATCTCGGCTATCTCTCCTATTTCTCTCTATAAATTCGAAGATACTAAGTGTCCAACACCTATTCTCAGCTGAGGAAGTGAGGCTTAAGAGGAGGTCATGGGCGGAGAAACCTATGCAAGCAAATGTGGACAAATTTTCTTTCCAAAGCACATGGGACTTTGGGGGGCCTTGGGGCACGACTTGGCCGGTCTTGGCAGAGGTTTTTGGCTGCATTTGGAAGGAACATTGGTAGGGAATATGGCTGGTAAAGTCCCAATGCACTAGGGGGCAAAAGGTCCATTAAAAATAAGGCTACCACATGCTCCCAACTAGTGTTAGTGCTATTTTATTAACCCTAATCATCCTTAAGGCTAAACTTGGCTTAACTAACTCCTAATAAACCTATTAATACATGCATGAATATGGACTTGGAGAAAGATGGGTCAAAACTAAAGAAAATGGCTTTTGGAGGTGGCTGGCGCTGGCTGGGCGCGCGCTGCTGCGCTCGGACGTGCGCATGCTGGCTGCCTGCGCGCGCTGCTGGGCTGTGATACGGAAGTGGTCATCGACCCAGGCGAGTCAGAGGATGAGGATGGCGACGATCTCAACATATGGTTGGACAACATGCTAGAGGAGCCATCAAGTCCAATATATCGACCTTGTGTACGAGATTGGCCAAAAGGATGTGGTCTGAAGTTAAAGTTGAAGGCTCAGAAATACAAGGCCAAGCAAGCCCGAAGGAAACGCAAGGCAAAGGATAAGGAAGGGAAGTGTTGGTGCAAGCCTTGTGCGAGAAAAAGGCGAGCTTGGAAGATGGAAGCTCGAAGGCGAGGTAAACAAAGAATAGAGGATGGTTGGATTTGGCGTGCTGGAGATTGTATTGGGTTGGAAGGTTGGGACCCATGGTCATCGGGCGAGCCAACAGAGTCGAGCCACAAAGGGGTTGAGGGAGATCGGCTATCGGGCGTATGGCGCGCATCGTGCCATGATGCACGCGATAAGGTTGTGCACACGACGTTGGGCGTACGCGGGTGCGCAGCAGACGAGCCGGCAATGGAGGTTAGCAGCACGCGGATGGCATCGGGCGTATGCGGGTGCGCGGTAGAGGATTGGAGATTCGGCGTAGGCAGGACGCACTGGGTGAGTGCGGGGCACGATGACGATGGTGAGATGGCTGGCGTGCGCGGCACTTGCGGAAGTGGCGAGGACTCGTGGGAGTTGGGCAGCAGTAGCAGCGAGCGCACATTGGCACGCGAGTGGAGCAGCAGCGCGGGCGATGTCTAAACCCGCATGGGCATAGGTATTGTTGGGTTCTGTTAGGTACGTCAAACAACATGCACAGTATTGAACTTTATCGAAATAAATCCTAACGTAGCGGAATCTATAGTTAGGATATGGACGTTTACCTTTTAAAATTTTTGTCGACTCTGAGA